GGAGCACTGTCAATGAGCAGAATGGCGTCTAAGCGATTGTGGTGTTCTGTTCTTGGGTGTAATAACGAACACAGTCATTTTAATGTTCCTGAATCCGAACCGCTGAAGACGCAGTGGCTGAGTTTGTTTTCGAAGGGAATATTCCCACGATCAACGTCAATGCTCTCATGTTTGCGCGAATCATTTCTCACCAGACTGCTTTATAAACGAGGGTCAGTATAAAGCTGGTTTTGCTAAGAAGCTGCTCCTGAAAACAGAATCGGTACCAGCTATTCGTGTTCCTGCTGAATCTCCAGAAGAACTGAAGTTAGTGTAAAGTTTTATTAATCTTTGCAAATCGTGAAAAAAAGTTGTTCATGACCATTACCTGTAACATCAATCTGTCAACAAACTAACGTATACATCAGTAAACACACAGTGTTCGTATCTCACTACTCTACCCTGCCAGTGCATACAAAGATAGATCAAAGTGACATTACATTAACCAACCATTCAGAAACGTCCTGTTCGAGCCTTAAAGGCACAACATGTACGATTTTTTCGCCACAAGAGGGCGCAGTTTCCAACAATAACAAAGGTGTAGGTTGATGACGCAGTGATGAGCTGAATGATGGGACTTGCTGTCAAGCTGACGGATCTAATAATGTTTAAGGATGAGTGCAAACATTCATGTTTTTTAACATTACAGTGGTATGAAGCAGGTCGCGTATGCTAAAGAGACAGATATCACATGGGAGTCCCGCGGATATAAAGGAATAAGGACATTTAATTCTGCCGAACCCGCAAGTGCTGGATTACTCACACAGGTCAGTTTATTAGACGAATTAAACTTGTGAGGTAACGCAGCGCTGCTTCACTCGGTCTAACGTTACACTATCACACTAAACGGCATTTAAATGTGTGTTGAAAGTTATAATGTTATACTACGTGTTAGTTCGTTTGCTATACGAAACTAGCAGTAAGCTAGATCAACATTAGAATGGCATACTGACCATATTCTAACATTTCATCATGTTGAGCTAAAGTTATATAACATTGATTTGTTTTATGTACATTTGCTCACCTGTCTAATAAAGCTGTCAAGTCGTGACTCGTGAAGCTATGTCGAGTCCAAGTTAGTCGCGGACGTTAGCTCTCGCTATCTCAAAAACGCCACGCTGATATTGATCCTCATTTTAATTCTCCTTGTTTGTCCCAAAGTCTGCTTGCCATGGTCTATGTTTGAAAGAAACGAGAACCGTGTGTCGCTAAACGTTACGCACTACGCAGTTGTCCGCGTCTGTCGCCATGGTTACGTCATGGCTATGGCAGTACGAGCGGAAACCGAGGATAGCGCGGATATTGCGTCATTGACAGGCCAACATGACATCATGACTTTGCGTAAACATACACGCCACTTTCAATTCAAGTGGCGTGTTATCTATACGCATTTTGAGCTATCCGCGTGTATGTCCACGCCGAAATCTTTTGCGTGTATGTCTACGCCATTAAACGTCCGAGTGATTCCGCGTGTATGTGTACGCCGTTAAATGTCCGAGCGAAACGAAGCAAAATCTATATTCTACATCTGTGGAGCGATATTTCTTTTCCTAGGATGGTAGGAGAAGACTCATAAATGGTATTAACCCCAGTGACGGGTAGGTTTAGGGACGGGGTTGGGGTAGGTCATATATTTATATGTACATAATACAGTAATATAACGTTAAGTCAAAGGCGTTGATAAACACGCTGAAAAGCGATTATGCGTGTTGATAGCACGCCAAAAATGGAAATACGAATTGGCGTGTCATACATACGCCATTTCATGAGATCAGTCTGGACAGGCGACATTTTTTTTCCGGGACGGCCACTTATTTAAAATTGGAATTTCTCTGAAATAAAAAATCTTTGGAGACTTTTGGGATATTGTAAGTACACAACTGCAGGAAATATATCACACTGTGCAAGTGATTTTTGGATATTTTATTAAAAAATTCTTACATATTGTACCTTTAATTGTCGAACTTCTTCAAGGCCGTCAACGGTTCAAATTGGTATGGTTGCACAGATGTGTCCTCAGAGACTCCCGCTGCCATTCTTTCTCCAAAATATACCCTCAACTGTTGTCAAGGCAACACTCCACGTGCGTTGTGTCAAAGCGCCAGCAGAACAGAGGCGCGGGGGTTGAGCAAAGCTAACCCCCCTTTAACAACTTAAGGACATTGTGACAAATGAAGGCAAAACAATATCAGGGTTAAAGTGCCTGACCAGCGGCTGAGTGAGCTTTACCACTAGAGAAGATGTAGCTCTGACTGGCGTAGTGGGCAATGCTGGGGCCGACACACTCTGTCAGTTCAAAGCTAGACTAAAAACACATCTCTTTGACCTGGCATTCACATAGAACATTATACATTCCTATTATTCAAATCAGTTAAATGATTATTAGGCTGCATAGATTAGGTCAGCCGGAACCGCGAACACTTCCTATAACACCCGATGTACTCGTTACATCATAAGAATAATGGCATCTACGCTAATGTTAGTCTTTCTGTTTATTTCGAGGTTTTCTGTAGTCAGCCGGATCCGGGCCGTATCCAGAACAGAGAGGACCTGCGCCTGGACACGTCCACAACACATCCCTGAAGTGCCAGCAGAGATTGTGTCATCTAGACTCTCCCCTGTAAGGCCTCATCCACTGATCCTCAAACCCGTCTCCATCCCGGCGTGACTCTGATCTTCAACCAGAGGGAACTGGATAATATTCTGGTTGTTCCAATCCAATCTGACCTCTGACCTGTAATGCCTGAGTCATAATCACACACTGTTCACTCGTTGGCCAGAGGAGAACTGAGCGACTGAGTCTGGTTTCTCCCAAGGGTTTCTTCTCTATTCTGTCACTGATGGAGTTTTGGTTCGTTTCCACTGTCGCCTTTTCCGCCTTTTTTCACCTTTGTTGCCATTGGCTTTTGTCTTGCTTAGTTAGGGACATTAAATTTAACACTTAATTTAATATTCAGCAATATTATTGATCTCCTGCACTGACAGCATTATATGAGAACTGAACTGAGCTGGACGATGACATCACTGTTTTCTCCAGAGCGGCTATATATATAAGTGAACTAAATTCTCTATTAACTATTAACTAATAGAGTAACTATTAACTAACTATTCTCTTCTGAAAACAAACTTTGTTGCATTATTTTCCTGTTTTCTCTGTAAAGCTGCTCTGAAACACTCTGTGTTGTAAAAAGCGCTATATAAATAAATGTGACTTGACTTAACCAAAACACACCTGGAGCCAATCAGCAGTGAGGGGCGTGTCCACTCATGATGGGGGAGGTGCTTGTGTTTGGTGTTCATAGATTTGTGTTCATAGATTTGTGTTTGTGTTCATTCAAGATAGGGGTGTGGTAATTTTGGGTAGGGGGCGTGGTTTGGTGAATTTAAATATCAACTGCCTTTTTCAGAAATCGCCCATTGCACCTTTGTACCATCTGGTACAACTTTAGGTTGAAGTATAGGGGTAATCTGCATTAAGACAAAGTAAAAAATGTCACGCAAGCCAGGCAACCAAAGTTTGCACCAATAGCCATAATTAGTGAAAACAAATAGGTATGAAAACAAAACATGCTTCTTTTGGGACATGTTTTGTGCTATAGTTGTGTGAAAACAACTAAAATCAGTTAGTACAGTAAATAATTAAAATTTTATTGTGTAATTCATATTTAGGATTTAGATATACAGTGCTTAACAAATGTATTAGAGCAGCACCCAATGTAAGGTTTGTGCCACAGCTGCCCTAAACTAACAGTATGATTACCAAAATCTTTTATTATGTTTTTGTAACGGTTATTCCACCAGTATGTGAAGCTCTTTAGTCACAGTTGGGCAAGTCAAATCCCGACTTGAATCAAATTTAAAGATAGATTGCACAAAAGTTTCATCAAAGCCAAGTCTTGGAAGTCCATAACAACAGAGACTGTGGAAAAGTAGGCCTATACTGTAAAAACAATGCCAGCAAGAATGCAAGCTGTTATAAAGGCCATAGGATGCCATACAATATATATATATATATATTTCTTTGGTTATTATGTGTGAATAAAGAGTATTTAGTTGTTTCAGTTTAAAATTTGCCTAAAAAAAAAGGTTTGTTTTAAACAAGTTTTTGACAGATTCCTATAAAATTAGTGTTTTTTGTTTATTATGACAGGTGGTCTGATAAATTTAAGCACTGTAGATATAAAGTACAGCGCTACAGGTCCAAGTTTTCACTCATTAAATGACACCATTAATTAGTCCACAGCGCCACCTGGAGGCCGTTCTTGCATTACTGCACCGAATAAACAACAAAATATATAATATCATCCTATAAAATGATTAAAAAAATATACAGTGGGGCCCTAAAGTCTAATTTCACACTGAGAATATGGAAATACATGCGTCTTCTCTAAACCTGGAAATAACAATGCTTTTGATTAATATTAAAGCTCTGATTCTTAGGAGTAAACAACCAACACTCACTGCAAGACCTTCAAACTAATGTGAGATGAGAGATGTGTCTGTATGGCCGACTGACTGAACGGTAAACATTAACGGAGAGATGCGTGTTATAGAGACGAATATGCATCATCATTAAAAACATTTCTATAAATGCCCTTGTCGTTGCGTGTGGCTGATTGTGTTGATTCTTTTAAAACACAGCTGAAGACACTTCTATTCAGACAATCTTTTAGTTGACTGAGCTATTATGTTGTATGTTTTGTATAATGTTTTTTAACTGTTCAAATTGCTACTTTGCTACATGTAAAGCACTTTGTGATTTTATCTGTGAAAGGCACTATATAAATAAAGCTTACTTACTTACTTACTTAAAGACCCACGTTTTGTATAAGCCTTCCGACTGAGCTACACCAATAAATGATCTCACAGGTCTGAGAGCGGTATCTTTAGTGTGTTCGTGTCTGCGATGTGCGTCTGCAGAGACTGCGCGTGTGTGTGACGCAGGCGGCCAGCAGCCAATGGCGCGAGACACATGCGCAGCAGAGTTGCGCAGTTACATGCGGAGGAGCGCAGCCATTACACTTGATCTGAAATCTTTATAAACAGTCGCTCGGATTGCACTGGCCAAATCATTTCTCTACAACTTCCGTCATAGTGTACTGGAAGTGGCTCAACATGTGAGCGGGATTTGACTGCTCTGAGCTCAGGAAAGTTGAGAAACTTCAGAGGTTTATCAGGGAATGATGATGGAGTCTCCGCTCGGGAATGATGACCTCACGCCTGCGGGCTCGAGATCTGCGCGCGCATCCTCTCAGCGCGAGCCCGCCGCGCCGCTTCTCCTCTGTGAGTTCGAGAGTTACAGTGAATCTGGCTGTATTCTTCACTAAAGTTGCAGTTGGCTATACGGTCTGCTCAATATAGAGACGTAATTAGACTAGAACTAATTAATTTATTCATAGAGAGGTGTTATATAAGCATAACATATAAACATGTCGAGACAGACTTTATCAAAATCTCTGAGGTCAATACCTCAGCACAAGCCAGTGTGGTTTTAGCTATATTCATGTGTCCTGGGAAGAACTGCACTTCCCAAAATCCTTAAGAGAGTTCTACCAATCAGAGACTACCTTGGAAACAAGAACTTTGCCAGAAAAGCTCATTGCAAATGTAGTCAAATTAAATTCACATTTATTTGTATAGCACTTTGCACAATACATATTGTTTCAAAGCAGCTTTACAGAAAATGCATGTCTACATTACAATTTAGAGTGATCTGTAAAGTGAATCAATCAAAACTAACTTTATCTGGACAATAACTTTATTCTAGAGCTGCTGTAAAGCCAAAACAATCTCTGTTACTGTAATCTCCTGTTTTCACTGTAAAGCTGCTGTGAAACAATCTATGTTGTTAAAAGCGCTGTATAAATGAAGGTGACGTGACTTGTAATCTAGTCGGTTTCCCTACACTATCGAAAAACGTATACATTTGCATAAATTTAATGTTTTGCAGTAAATGTAAAATATGCTTATTTTTAAGCTTAAATAAATGCCTGTAAATCGCTCATTTTATATTGTGTTTGCTTATTTGGTGGCGTTGTTTGCAATGCCTCATGAATGAGTAGCTAACAGACCTTATGCGCCATCTTTGATTTTTAACAGGAATGAAATCATTCAGATTAGATCCGATCAGATTTCGCTCCTTCTGCCGTATGAAGAGGATCTTATTATAATATTCCCGGCCCTTAATCTGCACGTTCACACACACCAGCGACATTGGGTTCGGCGAGCGCCAACAGAGACCAGTTCTAACGCACTGGAGAAGATCCAGCAAAGCCTGAAACTGTTCTGTGGTCGAGCACAGACGACACTGAACACTATTGACCAGAACATGTCACCGCTGTCTTATAAACACCTCAGGAACTGTGGACACTTGTGGAAGAGTTCAACATGATGAGGAGATGATCAGTGTAACTCCACAACAACTACAGAAATGTCTCCGCTAACATTCAGAAACGTGTAAAAGTGAAGCTCTCCCTGAGTCTCTCCGTAAGGCTGCACTCGCTGCTGGTTACTCCTGACTCTGGATCAGTGAGATTGGCCTGTGTTGTTATTGCCGGAGTCTCTGAAGCTCGTGTAAAGGCTCCGCCCTCTTCTGAACGGAGGCGGAGCTAAAGCTCATTTGCATTTAAAGAGACACACAAAAAAACGGCGCGTTTTTGCTCACACCAAAAAGGGGCAAATTTGACGAGCTATAATAAATGATCTGGTATTTTGAGCTGAAAATTCACAGAGAGACCATAGGTTTATATTACTTCTTGTGAAAAGGGGCGTAATATGTCACCTTTAAACAAACAAACGCTATCATATTTTGATTCTCGATCTCAGAGCTGTTTGGTTCTGATAGAACTGTTCGATTGATCATGTTTCTTCATGTTTACGCATTGATATTTCATGTTCTTCATTGTGTTTGTGGTCACAGATCCCATCAGTGTTAACAACGCTTTATCATCGTCAGCAATTTTTAACAACAAAGACAACAAAGTCCCACACGGTCAGTATGTTATGGAACATTTACATCATATTTCATGAAGTGTTGTGCAGCTGCAGTATTTGTAAATTAACTAGATAATGTCCTGATTGTGATGTTTACCTAAAAAGTGAAATGTTTTGATTTGATATTGTATTCCTCTCAGGTGTAGGCGGGAGTGAGGCGGTCTCCAGCTCGTCCGAGTTCACCCACGGTGCCATCGTGCTCCTGATCGAGGCCATGCAGAGGTGCTGGGACGTGTACAGCGCCAGGGAGCGATCGCTGCTCTTCCAGAGCGTCCAGAAAGAGCTGGAAGGTCACGGTCACTCCTTACCCGTCGAGAAGATTCGCAGGAAATGGAATAACCTCATCGTGACGTACAAGAGAGTTAAAGATCGCAGCTTGCTGTGTGGAGGCCAAACCAAGACCTCGTGGGAGTACTTCGAAGTAAGGGATTAATAATGATGCCTTTTCATTTCATTAAAGCTACACTGTGTAACTTTTTTAGTTTATTCTTAGCTAAAAACACTTAGTTCTTTCCAAAATATATGTGCTCATTAATGTATATTTACTTCGTTCAAGTAATAAAGTATTCTCGTGAGTGTATAATATGCCATTGAAAATACATACGGGTAAGGGGTTCTAATGTCGGTCGCCATGTTACCCCTCCATCTTGAAAGTACATTAGCCAAAGAGGGACATACCCGTTAATTCAAGCTTCGTCTTTCGCGAAGCAATGATAAAAGTTACTTTACTAAGATTAGCTTGCATTCGTCTGGGAACCTGATAACTGATGTTAGCAATGAAATGGTAAAAAAATAAAACTATTATTCATTTTACATAGATGTCATAACCTATATGTTACCTGACAAATTAAATTACTGCAAATTATAATAGTTTTCTAAAATAACCTCATCACTTGAAGGAACACTCATGGACGAGGTCGAACTGGAAGCCATGTTAATCTTGGACTACATTGGCCACCGTAGGAGTTCAAACGAAATCGGAATTGAGAGGAACAGAAACTAATTTTCACTGGATGGTCATATACCCTTTCACCGCTAGATGGGGGTAAAAATCACACAGTGTAGCTTTAAGCTTCCAGCAGGTTTTTATCACATGATTGGCTGCTCCAGGAATTCATTATATTCTCAATTCAAGAAATCATATTATTGTAAGTCTCTCAAATACGGTTCCTTTTTAGAAACACTAATGACCTCAAATACGTGAATAACCAAAAATACCTGAAGAATAAAATTTAAATGTTGAGTACAGTAGTTTACCCTTAGAACAACACTGTTTGATCAGGATCATGGACATAAAAACAGTATGATGGTGGAATCACAGTGTGACTGAATGATCTTCGCTGTTCTGTTCTGTTTATGAAACACAGATGATGGATAACATATTAGGAAAGACTAATATTGTTCAGCGGGGCCCTGCTTCAGCCACTCTTGTTGGATTCGCAACTACAGCTAAAGCAGCTGTAAAATCCGAGGATCCTCCATCCAGCAGTGTTCCTGCGGTGGCTCCTCGTCTGCTTCCCACCGGGATCATCCCGACCTCTTCCCCAAACCCGACCTCTTCCCCGATTCCGATCCTGACCTCTTCCCCGATCCCGACCTCTTCCCCGATTCCGATCCTGAACTCTTCCCCGATCCCGACCTCTTCCCCGATCCCGACCTCTTCCCAGATCCCGACGCTGGTGCCGGTGCGGTGCCAGGTCAGCACTGACTCCGCTCTGCCGAAGCCTGTGATCTGCCCGGCTCTGAGACGCTCTAGGCTCCGGCAGCTCCGGCTCGGCTCGGCTCAGCAGCACGGGATCGGCTTGGCTCCGGCTCAGCTCCGGCTCGGCTCCGGGCCGGCCGAGGAACGCACCGAACTCCTGCGCTGCTTCCTCCGCGGTCAGGAGGAGCGCGCGCGTTCAGACGAGCAGCTTCAGCGCAGGACAGACGCGCGCGAGCGGCGCAGGGAGAGATCCGCGCGGGCCGAGGCCGATGCTATGACCAGGATGGCCACCGCGCTCGAGCTCATCTCCTCTAAGCAGGACACCATCATCGCTCTGCTGCAGAGGCTGGCCGATAAACACTGACACTTTCCCCTTTCTCTTCTGATAATATTGCTTCTGGAACTGAATAGTGTATCAACTGTATCCTGTTGTTTATAGTATATTTAAGTCAATGGTTTGGGATCCTTGTTACTGTTAAAAGCTTGAAAGAAACAAACATATGGACTCTTTGACATTATCAATATATACAGTGCCTATAAAAAGTACGTTTTCATGTTTTGTTGTTTTACAACATTGTTCCACAGAGGGTTTTTATTGTTTTATGACAAAAGCTCAGTCACAAAAATGATTACACTTGTAAATTAAAGGGGACATATCATGAAAATCTGACTTTTTCCGTGTTTAAGTCAATGAGATGATCAGTGTAACTCCACAACAACTACAGAAATGTCTCCGCTAACATTCAGAAACGTGTAAAAGTGAAGCTCTCCCTGAGTCTCTCCGTAAGGCTGCACTCGCTGCTGTTACTCCTGACTCTGGATCAGTGAGATCGGCCTGTGTTGTTATTGCCGGAGTCTCTGAAGCTCGTGTGAAGGCTCCGCCCTCTTCTGAACGGAGGCGGAGCTAAAGCTCATTTGCATTTAAAGGGACACACAAAAACTGCGTGTTTTTTCCAAGGGGGTAATCCATCGACCGGAAGTTGAAGCCGGCCGGGTGCCGCCATGTTGTAGCAGAACTTCACTTGCGTTAGCATTTCCATTGACTCCCATTCATTTTGGCGTCACTTTGACAGCGAATAACTTTACATCTGAGGCGTTTAAAGACTCCATTTGTCCATTATTTATTCCTAAAGAAACACGACAATGTATAAAGGGCTCCATTACCTTCTATGTTACATTATGGCCCCGTAGAAACAGATATTGTAAAAATAGGCTAACGATTGCGTCATAACCACTCGACTCTGTCGCGCTGTACAGAAATGACCGTACAGACAGGAGGAGAAGCTCGCAGGCGATCGGGGGACGTCCCGTCAAGGGAGAAGCCCATAGATAATGAGTCCATAAAAGCAACGGAATACTTACTCCTGCTCACTCACGCCCCAAAGAACTCTTTGCTCAAGTTCCCCGTCTCTGCAAGATTAACGTTGGCCATTTTCACGCACAGCTACTAGAAGAGTAACGTCTGTCAGACAGGTTGCTCACGTCATCAAGCTTAGTTTGAGTCGGTTTGAGTCTGCGCGTCAGGAACGGAAGTGCTCAGAAATCGCTAAAAATGGGCTTCAACTGTCTCAACTGAGCTCCAATGAGATGCTCTGTCCATTTCTTATACTGTCTATGGTTTTTTCTCACACCCAAAAAGTAGTGAAGGGGCAAATTTGACAAGCTATAATTAATCTGGGGGTATTTTGAGCTTAAATTTCACAGACACATTCTGGGAACACCAAGGATTTATATTACATCTTGTGAAAAGGGGCATAATGTCACATTTAAGGGAAACAACTCCGTTCAGAAGATGGACAGTTTTAAAATGATAAATAAGAATAAACTTCTTGTAATTATTGTCGCTCTAGTGGTCAGTAGCACAACACACAGCTCACTTATTCAATGCAAGCAAAATAATCTGCCTCCAAAACTGAGTAGTATGAAGCTGCAGACTCGGAGACCTGCATCTACAGTCCCCCTGCACCCAGAGTCCCGCATTCTCAGACCCCTCGTTTTTCGAGACAGCGCCTCCTATCAAATTGTATCGGATAAACATGTGAAGAACATGTGAAGAACTTAAGCCAAAATGTGAGTAGGCTATCTTCAATTTTATTTAGCGAATCGTAGTAGCCTACTCGTTTGATTTATTTTTTAATAAAACTAATTTAGCTCATCGATACAACATATGAATAGTCCATTTAATATTTGTAAAGATAGTTTGTAACAAGATTTGAGCCGTTAATGTATGTTTTTTCGCCCTCTTCCGGCCGAAAATATTTTGATAGCTAACGTTAGCCTTTAACCTTGGACTTTTTGTAGATATGTCATAAATGCTGCAGTGATTTTCACTGCCCATTTTGTGCCCCGGCCCCCATATATTTCAAACCCACAAAGTTGTCCAAAGTTCAAAAACATCTCAAGGGACACTTCAACAGAGCAGTGCAACATGAAGGTAACATTTGCAAACATCTTTTTTCTTTTTTTTTTTTCTTTTTTTTTGAAACATCATAAGACATGTGCTTTTGGGCCTATACTGTTGTAGGCTATTCCAGGGTACACCATACATCGATGGAGTCGCCCCTGCCGAACCCAGCAACATATCATTTTATGATTATGCAAAGCGACTTATAAATTAGTTTTTTTAATGCAATTGAAGACGAAAAGTAAAGTCACGAACACAGTTTTTTCTTCCTTTTTTCTTTACAGCAAGATGATGTTTAGGTGATCATTAAATAAAGTACAGAATTGTTTATTATTGGTGTTTTGTCTATTCTGATTTGTTTTGCTTCGCATTCAAAATATCAAAAAACAGATTTTGTAATGTTAGCATGGTAATGTTAATTAGACCATTATAGGTTGAACTGAAAGAAAAATTGGAATTTGAATAAAAAAATATAAAAAAAACATTGTAGCAATATAATATCACATACTATTTTTCAGAAGATAGTTCAATCTGTAATTGTATCCCTTCCATCGCAATGAGTTTTTTTGGCACATGCATTAAGCAGGGAACGCAATTATTTATTGGATCATTTATTTGGAGACCGTAATATTGCATCCTATTGTTTTTAATTGCATTTGGATAAGCGTGCGCTGTACTCTGTGTGCGGGTGTTATACGATCTTTCGAACAGCAGGAGGCGCTGTGTTCGAAAAACGAGGGGTCTGAGAATGCGGGACTCTCGGTGGGGGACTGTAGATGCTGGCTCCGAGTCTGCAGCTTCATAATATTGCCAAAACTGATAAAGTCCCCAGTCTGCCGTGCTGTGACTGTAACAGCTGAATGTCTTATTTTATAGAGCCCAATTCATTTATTTATTACCTACTTAAAACGGCTTAAGGATCGGTCTCGTTTGAGATAAGCAATTGCGCCGAACCGATGAGAAACCAATTAGAAATGTGTCTTGACTGAGTGTGGTCCACCTTCTAATGTCAAGGTGACGCAGTTAGGATCATATTCAGGACTCAAACGAGCCTATTATTAGAGTAAAAACAAAACAAGTTCGTTAAATGGACAGTGCTCGTTAGTAATTCTAGCGCTATTTAACATGCAAAATAAAATAAAAGGGTTAACTGGAATCGGTTAGATTAAAGCCTTGTAGTGTCTGCAGTTTATTTACGTCGACCGCGTGGCCTAATGGATAAGGCGTCTGACTTCGGATCAGAAGATTGAGGGTTCGAGTCCCTTCGTGGTCGTTCTTTTTTAACTTCGGTTTATGTAGAAGTAAAACATACTAATACAATTTAAAATCTGATTCCGATGTGAACTAATGCTGAATGTCAATGTATGCATGAGTCATGACTATTAGCACAGATATCCCGTTATATCAGCAACAGCAGAGCGGAAGCGTAACCCAGATGGATCGAAACCATCCTCTGCTAGGAACTTTTTACTTACCCAACAAAGCTGCTAATCTCTCTGTGACAATGTATCAAGTTGAAATTTTGTATTTGACAAATAATGTTTTTAGTTCTTTATATTTCATTCCATTTTAAGTTTCATTCACATTTAAAGATGGCAATCAAACATGGATGAGTAATGGGTTTTTTCTAGTGTCATGCAAATACCTAGAACTCTAATTAAAACAGTCTAGCCCTCTATTAACAGTCAAAGCACATGAATAGTATACACCAGCTCTTTGCTTTAAAAGGTTTACAGTTGATCAAATCTCGCTTCAAATCTACAATTTGATTTAGTTTTTATAAAGTAATCTGACATATAATTAAGTATATGCTATGCATTACAGCAAAAAAAAAATACACCACTTTACAGTGTGATATTTTAATAAAAATTTTAATACAGAACAAATGTTATAATATTTTGGGTTCAGTCATAGTCGACTCGTCGTCCTTGTTTTGTTGCAGCATGTATCTTCTTCTGTTTGAGTCTTTCCAAATTTCTTTTATCTAATCTAAAAAAAAACAAAAAAAAAACATTATTGTGACAGTGTTGCATTAGTGCTTCTCTGAAGGACACAGTTGTGCTTTCATGCTCTGTAACCTGTGATCTCTGTAACCTGTGATCTCTGTAACCTGTGATCTCTGTAACCTGTGTGCTCTGTAACCTGTGATCTCTGTAACCTGTGAGCTCTGTAACCTGTGAGCTCTGTAACCTGTGATCTCTGTAACCTGTGATATCTGTAACCTGTGATCTCTGTAACCTGTGATCTCTGTAACCTGTGATCTCTGTAACCTGTGATCTCTGTAACCTGTGATCTCTGTAACCTGTGATCTCTGTAACCTGTGTGCTCTGTAACCTGTGAGCTCTGTAACCTGTGATCTCTGTAACCTGTGATATCTGTAACCTGTGATCTCTGTAACCTGTGATCTCTGTAACCTGTGATCTCTGTAACCTGTGATCTCTGTAACCTGTGAGCTCTGTAACCTGTGATCTCTGTAACCTGTGAGCTCTGTAACCTGTGATCTCTGTAACCTGTGATCTCTGTAACCTGTGATCTCTGTAACCTGTGATCTCTGTAACCTGTGATCTCTGTAACCTGTGATCTCTGTAACCTGTGATCTCTGTAACCTGTGATCTCTGTAACCTGTGTGCTCTGTAACCTGTGATCTCTGTAACCTGTGATCTCTGTAACCTGTGATCTCTGTAACCTGTGATCTCTGTAACCTGTGATCTCTGTAACCTGTGATCTCTGTAACCTGTGTGCTCTGTAACCTGTGATCTCTGTAACCTGTGATCTCTGTAACCTGTGATCTCTGTAACCTGTGATCTCTGTAACCTGTGTGCTCTGTAACCTGTGATCTCTGTAACCTGTGATCTCTGTAACCTGTGATCTCTGTAACCTGTGATCTCTGTAACCTGTGATCTCTGTAACCTGTGATATCTGTAACCTGTGATCTCTGTAACCTGTGATCTCTGTAACCTGTGATCTCTGTAACCTGTGATCTCTGTAACCTGTGTGCTCTGTAACCTGTGATCTCTGTAACCTGTGATCTCTGTAACCTGTGAGCTCTGTAACCTGTGATCTCTGTAACCTGTGAGCTCTGTAACCTGTGATCTCTGTAACCTGTGATCTCTGTAACCTGTGATATCTGTAACCTGTGATCTCTGTAACCTGTGATCTCTGTAACCTGTGATCTCTGTAACCTGTGATCTCTGTAACCTGTGATCTCTGTAACCTGTGATCTCTGTAACCTGTGATCTCTGTAACCTGTGATCTCTGTAACCTGTGATATCTGTAACCTGTGATCTCTGTAACCTGTGATCTCTGTAACCTGTGATCTCTGTAACCTGTGATCTCTGTAACCTGTGATCTCTGTAACCTGTGATCTCTGTAACCTGTGATCTCTGTAACCTGTGATCTCTGTAACCTGTGATATCTGTAACCTGTGATCTCTGTAACCTGTGATCTCTGTAACCTGTGATCTCTGTAACCTGTGATCTCTGTAACCTGTGAGCTCTGTAACCTGTGATCTCTGTAACCTGTGATCTCTGTAACCTGTGATATCTGTAACCTGTGATCTCTGTAACCTGTGATCTCTGTAACCTGTGATCTCTGTAACCTGTGATCTCTGTAACCTGTGATCTCTGTAACCTGTGATCTCTGTAACCTGTGATCTCTGTAACCTGTGATCTCTGTAACCTGTGATCTCTGTAACCTGTGATATCTGTAACCTGTGTGCTCTGTAACCTGTGATATCTGTAACCTGTGATCTCTGTAACCTGTGATCTCTGTAACCTGTGATCTCTGTAACCTGTGATATCTGTAACCTGTGTGCTCTGTAACCTGTGATCTCTGTAACCTGTGAGCTCTGTAACCTGTGAGCTCTGTAACCTGTGATCTCTGTAACCTGTGATCTCTGTAACCTGTGTGCTCTGTAACCTGTGATCTCTGTAACCTGTGATCTCTGTAACCTGTGATATCTGTAACCTGTGTGCTCTGTAACCTGTGATCTCTGTAACCTGTGATATCTGTAACCTGTGATCTCTGTAACCTGTGAGCTCTGTAACCTGTGAGCTCTGTAACCTGTGATCTCTGTAACCTGTGATCTCTGTAACCTGTGAGCTCTGTAACCTGTGATCTCTGTAACCTGTGATCTCTGTAACCTGTGTGCTCTGTAACCTGTGATCTCTGTAACCTGTGATCTCTGTAACCTGTGAGCTCTGTAACCTGTGATCTCTGTAACCTGTGATCTCTGTAACCTGTGTGCTCTGTAACCTGTGATCTCTGTAACCTGTGATCTCTGTAACCTGTGAGCTCTGTAACCTGTGATCTCTGTAACCTGTGATCTCTGTAACCTGTGTGCTCTGTAACCTGTGATCTCTGTAACCTGTGATCTCTGTAACCTGTGATCTCTGTAACCTGTGATCTCTGTAACCTGTGATCTCTGTAACCTGTGATCTCTGTAACCTGTGAGCTCTGTAACCTGTGATCTCTGTAACCTGTGATCTCTGTAACCTGTGATCTCTGTAACCTGTGAGCTCTGTAACCTGTAACCTCTGTAACCTGTGATCTCTGTAACCTGTGTGCTCTGTAACCTGTGATCTCTGTAACCTGTGATCTCTGTAACCTGTGATCTCTGTAACCTGTGATCTCTGTAACCTGTGATCTCTGTAACCTGTGATCTCTGTAACCTGTGATCTCTGTAACCTGTGTGCTCTGTAACCTGTGATCTCTGTAACCTGTGAGCTCTGTAACCTGTGATCTCTGTAACCTGTGATCTCTGTAACCTGTGTGCTCTGTAACCTGTGATCTCTGTAACCTGTGATCTCTGTAACCTGTGTGCTCTGTAACCTGTGATCTCTGTAACCTGTGATCTCTGTAACCTGTGATCTCTGTAACCTGTGATCTCTGTAACCTGTGATCTCTGTAACCTGTGATCTCTGTAACCTGTGAGCTCTGTAACCTGTAACCTCTGTAACCTGTGATCTCTGTAACCTGTGATCTCTGTAACCTGTGATCTCTGTAACCTGTGATATCTGTAACCTGTGTGCTCTGTAACCTGTGATCTCTGTAACCTGTGATCTCTGTAACCTGTGATCTCTGTAACCTGTGATCTCTGTAACCTGTGAGCTCTGTAACCTGTGATCTCAGTAACCTCTGTAACCTGTGATCTCTGTAACCTGTGATCTCTGTAACCTGTGATCTCTGTAACCTGTGATCTCTGTAACCTGTGTGCTCTGAGAACGAGATCCTCCACTGACGGTTCTGGCTTCTGTCGACTGGCTTCAGTGATCATCTCGGAGATCTTCTGGAGACAGTCTTCAAGGTTCCTCTGCTGGCTTCTGGTCATCTCTGAGGTCACAATTAACTCTCCTGCTTTGTTGACACGAGTTTTATTCTGTTGACACAGGTATTTCTGCCATGAGCAGTGCATGCGACACAAAGTATGTATGTTATTATATGTCATACTCTCACCTTCAGAAGAATCTCTCTCCTAACTTCTTCTGTAATCCATTCAGCCGTCTGCACATGGAAACGCACCTCTGCTTTCGTACTGACTGCAAACAAATATTACAGAATGTTAAGTGACAATAGTGATTCTTAAATAAACAGCACTAGTGATTAGTGATTAGTGCTGGGCAGTATACTGGTTCATACCGAATACCGGTGTTTATTTTTGTTATGATCTGAATTTTTAATATACCGCAATATTGGTGTATGTCGCTTTAACAACGTTGGGAACGCGTTGTGACACTGTTTGAGAGGGTCAGACTCTTCTTTACACTGTTCGCTGTGGTGATGCACAGCTGTGTGTGTTACTGAGCCTGATGGTGAAGATGGAGAGGTTCAACTATAATTGATAGCGTTCAATTTATATTACAGTGTTTCCCATACATTGGTTCACAATATCAACAGCCTTTTGGAAAAACTATTTGTGGTTGGCATTGACATGGTTGAATAAACATGAGCACTGCATGTTATAAAGTCAAAGCGTGGCGCGGGTGTTTTTATATGAACGTATCTGAAGTGAACTGACAGTCTTTGGAAAAGTTTCAATGTTCAATTGAATCTTTCTTGATCTTTCCTGTTAAAGCAGCGTTTATGAACGAGATTTCTGCCGCTCCTACAGCGCCTCTTTATAAACAGCCTCGCAAACCTGTAACAATACTAGCGTGGATTTTTTCTACAATATTCACTCATGCCAGTAAAATAGGGCATTCTAAGTCCATCTACTGCAGTATTTCCTCTCTCAATCATTGGTTAACACCCAGTCTTGCTTGGAAAAAAAAAATACCGTCATATACCATGAAACCGGTATAATTTTGAAAATACCGTGATGTGGATTTTTGGTCTCACTGCCCAGCACCAGAGCCATAGAGAGAGAGAGTTGCGACACTCCCATCAGGGCTCGACATAAGCAATGGCCCGATGGCCCGGGGCCAGTAAAAGTGTATGTCGGGCTAGTTGATTGGCCAGTCACTTGCCCGCGCGGGCCAGTAACTGGCCATCAGCAAAACAAACAGCAAACGTCATACACAGTGGCGCGAAGAGTGTCAATGTTTCTTCAGGTTATTTATAACGTGTTAAAATGTCAAAGAACTACGAGGCTAATACGAGAAAGAGTACCGAAACCCTGTATTAAACGGGACTGAATTTTGAAAGACCGCGCTGTATCGATAAGCTCGGACGTTATCGGTTCTGCTGTCGGTACTGGAGAAATACACGTAGGCTATCATTTATTATTGCTATAAAGACGTTTTTTTTTTTTTTTTTACCATCTCGCTGAGTCGCCAGCCATTTCTATAATAAAATTAAACCATTTGTCTGTGATGCATTTTTGCTATTCGCGCAGTCCAGAAGAGAGAGAGATCTCACGCGGTGCCACAACACGCACAACACCTGACGGAGGGGGACAGAACTAAACATTCAAGTTATGGTTACACTTTAGATCTGTGATATTAGTATGATTTTATTTTAGATTTCGGCTTCCAAAGATTATAGAATATATTTGAGGTAAAACCATTAAAAACTGCATTCTGTCTAGCGCAACTTCCTTCCCTTCGCAGCAGTACGCTGTCCTTAAAACTCAAACTTTAAGACAGAATCAGCACGATCGGTGATTGTTGTAAAATGCAGTCTCGTCTGTTGCTAAATTGCAGGACGCGTTTAATAATAAAAAGAGCTATTAAAAGCACAAAAATCTGCGCAAGAGATGCGGTTCCCAATGCAGCGCGCGCTCCGAAACATACCATAACGAGACAAGCAAATTATACTTTGGGCTTCATGTGCGGGTCTAAACGATCAAATGTACACAAAAATGTGTCAAAATGACTGGCTTGGAGATTCACTTAAACAGTTTATGTCTAAAATGGACGCAGTTATGGAAATGGTTGGGAGAAAATATGGTGCATCAGTAGACTATTAGATCTGCACTTGTTCTTAACCCTTTGATGCACAACATGGGTCTAAATAGACCCGACTGAGTTTTAATTGTCTATATCTTTGCAAGAAATTAATTTCATCATTCAGTATTCCAGGTATTTCTCAATTAACTTGTTTTTGATCATCACAAATCCTTATTTTTATTTTTACTTTCTTACTTTTTGAATAAAAATAGTTTTTGTATCACAACCCTTCTAATGCGCAACATGGGTCTAAAAAGACCCGTATTCATTTCCTATGTTATTTCAGTGATGGCTGAGTGTTTTCTTTGCTGAATCTTTAAAATATATGTATTTTATCATTTGTTATTCCAGGTATTCATTAAATATCTTGTTTTTGATTTCCACAAATCATTATGTTTATGTTTCCTTTCTTACTTTATAAACAAACACAGTTTTTGTATTTCTACATCAATTTTACATACACGGGTCTAAAAAGACCCGTATTCATTTCCTATGTTATTTCAATCATGGCTGAGTGTTTCTTTGCTGAATCTTTAAAATATATGCATTTTATCATTTGTTATTCCAGATATTCATTAAATATTGATATTTATGTTTTCTTTCTTACTTTATATACAAACATTACATTACATACATGGGTCAAAAATGACCCATATAGAAACCTTTGATATTTGCACATATTTGCAAGTAGGAACATATTTACTGCATAAATACTATTACTATAGTATTATTACATAATACTATTCACCTGCCACACATTTCACAACTCAACACTGCTGCTTTTGTATATTTGATGCAAGTCTTATTTTATTTTAACCACAGAAAATATTTGATATTTTGTAAAAGATAACTGGACATAATATTTGAATATTAGGTTACTTGACCATGAAATCCTAGTGAGAAATTACTTGTGAGAAAGAGAAACATATCCAATACTATTAGCTAGCTAGCTGTCGACCTATTCTATTCTAGCTAGCTAATGTTAGCTACACTAAAAAAAGATGGGTTTTTAAAGGGGAACTCAGCAACTCTAGCTATTTCTTCGCTGATCTTCACTTTTGTTGTCGCATGTTTTCTCAACGAGCTCCCCCTACAGCTGTGGGACGTATATTTCACAACAATGTTGTAAAAAAAACTCACTTGCGGCCCCTCCTCCCCCTTTCTACCGCTGCTCATGTGCATTTGTTATTATCGGAGCCGGCCAACTTTATCGTGTGGAGCTATACCGAGGTGGGTAATACATCATACACAGTGAGGGCGGCGTGTGTGTTTATGTCGAATTGCCATAAAGCATTTAGCGTTTCTCACTCGTTCTCGCTTCTCACAAGACTTCCTGTTTCCAACTTACTGGGACGTTAGTCCCCATGTTGCAAGGTTGGTTTTCCGCCTAGGAACGTTGGGGGGAGCAGAGAAAGTCACCATTTTCACCAGAACAGGTTATTAAACCATCCAAATGATTTCTAAACGGTTTTATTAAGTTGAAATAGTTGCCAAATGCCCCTTTAAAGCTTATTTACATGTAATAGGCCTAAAAGTTCTATTAAGAACCGTATAGTCTTGAATAAGCCATTATGCTGAAATGGTTCGATGTGTTAAGAGTTTAGGGTCCTTTTTTCCCCGCCTTTTGATTTTAAAATCTGTAACTGTCAAAGCCACCTGAAATAACATAGGAAATGAATACGGTCATTTTAGACCCGTGTATGTAAAATTGATGTAGAAATACAAAAACTGTGTTTGTTTATAAAGTAAGAAAGAAAACATAAACATAATGATTTGTGGAAATCAAAAACAAAGATATTTAATGAATACCTGGAATAACAAATGATAAAATGCATATATTTTAAAGATTCAGCAAAGAAACACTCAGCCATGATTGAAATAACATTGGAAATTAATACGGGTCTTTTTAGACCCGTGTATGTAAAATTGATGTAGAAATACAAAAACTGTGTTTGTTTATAAAGTAAGAAAGGAAACATAAACATAATGATTTGTGGAAATCAAAAACAAGATATTTAATCAATACCTGGAATAACAAATGATAAAATACATATATTTTAAAGATTCAGCAAAGAAACATTCAGCCATCACTGAAATAACATAGGAAATGAATACGGGTCTTTTTAGACCCATGTTGCGCATTAGAAGGGGTATCCATAGCTTGCGCATCAAAGGGTTAAAGGGGAAGCAGTCTAATAAACATGCTGACGATCACGCCATTACTGAGAATCAAACAACAAAAGGCACAAAGAAAATCACTCGCAGCTCTCTTGAATGAATAACTTTAGCTTTAATAAGTAAGATGAGGAGACTGAGAAAAAAAGAGAGAGGGAGATGAGGAGAAAGCAGGTATTGACAAATTTACTGCACACTGACATTTGGTTATTTTTGCATGTGTCCAGGGGCTCTCTCTTAATTCCTGAACTCCCTTCGCTGTTTTGATTAATCCTATACAATAAATACAGTTTATTTCTTTCAGGGCCAGTCAAAATATAGAAGGGGCCAGCAAAACTCTGATCTACTGGCCCCGGGGGCCAGTGGGGATTTTTTTTTATGTTGAGCCCTGCTCCCATAGACCGCCACAGGAACTCTGGAATGCGGAAGTAACGCGTGTCGTGGAGCGGCCGATAGTTCCAAACACTGATAGTTTCTCCATTGAACCCCATTCATTTTCAGTGCTTCCGAAGTACGCTCGCTGGTAAATTAATGAAATTACTGTATTTTTTTTTACTTTTACACACATTAGCCGACCTCTCGTGAATCTAGTCTGTAGTTATATTTTATGTAGCCAGTTTTAGTAAATGTTTATTGGAAGATAATAGGTTAATTGCAGCTATAGCTTACGTGACCAACACTTCACTAACGTTAGCTAACTTACGGTAACTAATGTATATAATATATAATATTTTTTATAATATTTTATATGTATGTATTTATATATATATATATATATATATATAGCCTATATATAATATTATATATACATACACACACACACACAATTCATTTATTTAAATGGGTTAGGGTTATGCATATATGTGCTTATATGTATTTAGGAACATAGTTAAGTCACTCATTAACTATCTCTCCGGTTTAATTTTATGAAGAATATTTTTCGGTTGAATATTTACCGAACATTGCTGTATATAGTCGTTGCTTTCTACGTTATGGGAGCAGTCTATTTCCCTCCTAAATCATTCATTTGTACATGCACAGCGTAATTATTATTATTTATATTTTATGTTGGTTGGAATTCTGAACGGACTGCAGACCTCTTTGCGTGATCACGAAGCGGAATTTATAAGCAAGATCACGGGAATCAATAGCCTAATACAGCCCAGTTGTGCTCAAATAAATATCATGAGACGTCCATCATCAGATGAATGACATGGAAAAGTTAAGTTAGAGCCGCTAAAGCCAGTACTACCCATGCGAACATGAACACTAGCGTTTCCCTCCAAAAATATAGCCTATAAACTTATCTAAGTTGTCACCCTGCCTCTCCAAATGCAAAACTGACATTAACAAAATGCAATAACAGCTGAAAAAGTACTTGGGTGTGTGTTTTATTTTATATTTACCGTTTAATAATGCAATCGCTGCTGTCTGTCCATAGAAGAACATGACAGCCCGCGTGTGTTTTGGAACTATTGGGGCTTACATGAACCACGTGACAGCCGCCGCTGCGACATCAAAGCGTGTCGCAACTCTTTCTCTCTATGGCTCTGCCCAGCACTACAAGTGATCGACAGAACACCTTCACATTGAACACTAGTCATAAAACACAGTTTACCCTTGTTGACATGTTGACCGCCTGGTCCGCTGCTCCGACTGTATGTTATCTTCAGTTTATCTGGGAAAAAGACCGTTTCAGCAGATTCAGACTTCAGCCAGTAACATCATGATCTCAGTCAGTTATAATAACATCATCATGATCTCAGTCAGTTATAATAACACCATCATGATCTCAGTCAGTTATAATAACATCATGATCTCAGTCAGTTATAATAACATCATCATAATCTCAGTCAGTTATAATAACATCATAATCTCAGTCAGTTATAAAAACATCATGATCTCAGTCAGTTATAATAACATCATCATGATCTTAGTCAATTATAATAACATCATGATCTCAGTCAGTTATAATAACACCATCATGATCTCAGTCAGTTATAATAACATCATGATCTCAGTCAGTTATAATAACATCATCATAATCTCAGTCAGTTATAATAACATCATCATAATCTCAGTCAGTTATAATAACATCATAATCTCAGTCAGTTATAATAACATCATAATCTCAGTCAGTTATAATAACATCATAATCTCAGTCAGTTATAATAACATCATAATCTCAGTCAGTTATAATAACATCATAATCTCAGTCAGTTATAACAGTTATAATAATGAGGAACTCTTACCAACCGGGATGCGCGAGAGCAGATCGTCCTGTCAATAAACAGAAACATTGTGTTAACATAAGCAATGTGATGTTGCACGCAATCTAGAGAAAATACAGAAGAACATGTTTCACCTGTGTAAAATGCGATGCTTTTTTCACGTGGAAATAACTGCTGTCTGCATAGCGCTTCGATCGCGTTTGGTTACTATTGAATACAGTTACTAATCGACGGCATATATTCCTCGAGCATGACAGATTGTACCGCTGTAAGAAACAGAAACTTGTAACCATAGATGCCGCCGCCATGTTGAAAATAAAGAAACACGTGTAATGAAAACATCCGCTTATGCTTCGAATGGGCGGTACTTCACAGAGCCTTCATATACAAGTAAATAGAAATGCTATAAAGCTGGAAAAAATAAATCCTGTATAGCTCATATCCATTGATCTGATTTTTTATATATATTGGCAAAAATCTGTTGTCCTATACCTTTTTTTTCCAAAGCCACAGCTTTAATGGACGAATTATTCAGTCCTAGCAACTATCTATTTGTTTTTAAATGTATCAATGGGCTAGCCCCAGAGTACCTTACAGACCTTGTCACGTTGCATAGGCCCTCCAGAGACCTTCGTTCAGCCAGTCTGATGGTCCTGGAGGTTCCTAGATCGAAACGGAGATCCAGTGGTGGTCGAGCCCTTTCAGTGGCGGCTCGCACTCTCTGGAACTCACTGCCTGTATCTGTGCGGACTGCTAGTAGCCTGTCCACTTTTAAATCATTGCTGAAGACTCATTTGAAGTAGCTTTTGGCACAGGGGAACTGTCTTGATGAATGGTTTAATCTATGTGTACCTTTATTTTTAGCATTTGTTATTTTATTGTGTTTTTATCGTATCAGTCTGTGACTAATATCTTTGTGTTTTTTTTTTTTTTTTACTGTGAAGTACTTTGGTAGGCCTTGGCCTTGGAAATGTGCTATATAAATAAATGTGACATTGACATCTGTAATATTAGATCCCGACACTGCAGCTGCCCGACACAAACTCACCGTCAGTAGAACTGAGTAGAATCAGATGTAACCTGTGGCTTTAATCGTTAAATTGCTTTCATTTGTATTAGGATTTCAAGGAGAACATTTGGGACAAACATGTTGGTTGTGATAATGACTTTTCAGTGGTCATTTTTTACAAAAATAATTTAAATAGGTCTATTTGTGTACAATGTGGGTATTAAGACAAATGTCGACTGTTGGTGTTTATGTTCATATTAATTGTTTTACAGAATTAACGACATTTTAACATTTCATTTTATAGTTAACGGAACGACATGTGTAATTATTTTCCCTTATCAATGCTAGTAAACAACAATAGGGAAGGTTCCACCGAGATTTGAACTCTGATCGCTGGATTCAGAGTCCAGAGTGCTAACCATTACACCATGGAACCGCTTAAGGCCACAAGGCGCCAACAAGTGCTGTTAAACATTTATATTGTTCATGTTTAGCTTCGAGCAGAGTAATATTCACTTATGTATCATTAAATCTCCGAGTAGTTTCTCCTCTACGTAGCCATTGGGAACACATTATCCAAAATGTACCCATCTTTGTAACATATTAAAGTTAAATTCTCCAGAGTTAGACCGACTGGTTGAATGCGCTGTGGTGTAAATACTGTATAAATATAACAGCAAAAGCAGTCACCCCAGATGGGACTCGAACCCACAATCCCTGGCTTAGGAGGCCAGTGCCTTATCCATTAGGCCACTGGGGCAGTGACGGAAACAGGTCGGAACAGTTTCATACTTCAACACTGATTCACGTAGGCGCTTCCGCTTTTTCTTCTTCACTTGGTATTTTATTGTCGCCTACAACATCAGTTACGCTCCTGTATATACAAAACTTTAGCAAAATCGCCTGTTTCTTGTAGCACAGAAAATATATATTTTATAAAGTAACATTAGCGATTGGCAAAACTCCGACAGGCAGACAGACAGGCAGACAGACAGACAGTAGGCACTTTATTTCCTGACAGACAGACAGTCATGATGTTAAACTGTGCTGTGTAGCATTAGCATTAGCCTACAGCTCTAGGAATGCCGTCCTCTAGTTAGGGTTACAGTCTTTTCCTTTTGATTAGACAAATAACATCAAGCACTATGAATTTATTACCATCAAATCCTCACGGTAATGGGTTACTTTATGCTGGATTTAACCAGGATCACGGTAAGATGTTTACTATTAGCTAACGCAAGCTAACATCACTCTGATACTTACCGTTCCCGTTATGAATCAGAGGCCAGAGAACTGTTATTTACTGAACACATTAAAACACATCAGTGTTTTCATTTAGTTTGTTGTTGCCAATCCAAGCGTCTAGTTGTAAAATGTGTTAAACTTGATGAACATGACTTGTTAAGCTAGCGAACAGCTGATTAGCCACAACATCACATGAGTGTTTCCCTTTAGGGCTGCTGTCAGCGTTTTATGTTGGGGTTTTTAATTGACCAACAATTGTAGCTATATATGAGTATCAACTGTAACGTTGAAAAAAGTGACCACAAGTTAGGTTATCAAGTAATCAAGGTTATCAAGTACTTATCAAGTAAACAAACACTGACCGTTGATGTAGCGGCTAACTGTAATAGCGATAGCTTTAGTGTTAATCTGAGCAATTGGATTTCAATCAACCTAAATAATACACTACAATGTAAAGTGTTTTAAAAGTCTATCTAAATCCTATTACGTGCCGTATGCGATGTGTTAATAACTATGCCACAATATGGGCTGAAATAACGGTATTATAGCCAATTAACATACGCATTTATGCAGGTTTCTCTCTGTCATTTACCGCTAATAATCATAATTGTGTGTAAATAAGCTCTTCTGAAGCTTTTAGATCTCAATGTTTAATCTAGTCCTAAAACATGTTTGAGCTGTTTTAACTAAAAGCATAGCGTAAAATATGTCACTGCCACTGTTTTGTCTCAGGATTCAAACCAGTAATGTGTTTTTCTAAGGCACGATTATAAAAGCTAAAACCTAATTGAGCTAAGGTTTAATCCTGGCTTAATCTAAGCCCTGTCTGTGAAACCAGGCCTAAATATCCATCAATCTCTTAGTTGTACTTCACTCTGTAATCGCTTCCCAGGCAGAGGAAAATAAATGGATTCTCATAAATAAACTATGTTCTGAAGCCACACAGACACAGGCTTGATGATCTGATGCTGAAATGTCTGTTTTGCCACCAGGATGTTTTGCGTGTGGAATGGAGAATGGATTCAGGGTTTATAACACAGACCCGCTCAAAGAAAAAGAGAAACAAGGTGAGTCTGCAGTGTTCATTCACGAGATACAGATGGACAGAAACACTTCAGATCAGACGGCAATATGTGGAAGTTAGTAACTACTTTAGATTTTTGCTTGTGTGATTTTTAAATCTTGCTTCATATTAATGAATATACATACAGCTGAGGGAAAATATGCATTAGTGTTTAGTTCACCATCGTCAGAAGAAGGCATGATGACTCAGGAGTAATTTCTCAGAGTAGATACAGACACACCTAGATCCGTCACTCTCAGCGTCACACACACACACGTTAGCAGCAGTTATTCATTCACCAGTTTATGGGATCCAGTGTGAGTTTATGGGATCCAGTGTGAGTTTATGGGATCCAGTGTGAGTTTATGAGATCCAGTGTGAGGCTATGGGATCCAGCGTGAGTTTATGGGATCCAGTGTGAGGTTATGAGATCCAGTGTGAGGTTATGAGATCCAGTGTGAGGTTATGGGATCCAGTGTGAGGTTATGGGATCCAGTGTGAGGTTATGGGATCCAGTGTGAGGTTATGGGATCCAGTGTGAGTTTATGGGATCCAGTGTGAGGTTATGGGATCCAGTGTGAGTTTATGAGATCCAGTGTGAGGCTATGGGATCCAGCGTGAGTTTATGGGATCCAGTGTGAGGTTATGAGATCCAGTGTGAGGTTATGGGATCCAGTGTGAGGTTATGGGATCCAGTGTGAGGTTATGAGATCCAGTGTGAGGTTATGGGATCCAGTGTGAGGTTATGGGATCCAGTGTGAGGTTATGAGATCCAGTGTGAGGTTATGGGATCCAGTGTGAGGTTATGGGATCCAGTGTGAGGTTATGGGATCCAGTGTGAGGTTATGGGATCCAGTGTGAGGTTATGGGATCCAGTGTGAGGTTATGAGATCCAGTGTGAGGTTATGGGATCCAGTGTGAGGTTATGGGATCCAGCGTGAGGTTATTTATTTATTTATTTATTTATTTAACAGGGACAGTGTATGGCATTCAGCCATACCAGAATTAGCTACAAGCTAAATTTCATCTGTAGTCCCTGGGCAGGAAAGGAAAACATACAATTGACAATCCAACAAACACATATAAATATACCATAAAACATCATTACACAAATCGCTATGGGATCCAGTTTGAGGTTATGGGATCCAGTGTGAGGTTATGGGATCCAGCGTGAGGTTATGGGATCCAGCGTGAGGTTATGGGATCCAGCGTGAGGTTATGAGATCCAGCGTGAGGTTATGGGATCCAGCGTGAGGTTATGGGATCCAGCGTGAGGTTATGAGATCCAGTGTGAGGTTATGAGATCCAGTGTGAGGTTATGGGATCCAGTGTGAGGTTATGGGATCCAGCGTGAGGTTATTTATTTATTTATTTAACAGGGACAGTGTATGGCATTCAGCCATACCAGAATTAGCTACAAGCTAAATTTCATCTGTAGTCCCTGGGCAGGAAAGGAAAACATACAATTGACAATCCAACAAACACATATAAATATACCATAAAACATCATTACACAAATCGCTATGGGATCCAGTGTGAGGTTATGAGATCCAGTGTGAGGTTATGGGATCCAGTGTGAGTTTATGGGTTCCATTGTGAGGTTATGGGTTCCAGTGTGAGGTTATGGGATCCAGTGTGAGGTTATGAGATCCAGCGTGAGGTTATGAGATCCATTGTGAGGTTATGGGATCCAGTGTGAGGTTATGGGATCCAGTGTGAGGTTATGGGATCCAGTGTGAGGTTATGGGATCCAGTGTGAGTTTATGGGATCCAGCGTGAGGTTATGGGATCCAGTGTGAGTTTATGGGATCCAGTGTGAGGTTATGGGATCCAGCGTGAGGTTATGGGATCCAGCGTGAGGTTATGAGATCCAGTGTGAGGTTATGGGATCCAGTGTGAGGTTATGAGATCCAGTGTGAGGTTATGGGATCCAGTGTGAGGTTATGGGATCCAGCGTGAGGTTATTTATTTATTTATTTATTTATTTAACAGGGACAGTGTATGGCATTCAGCCATACCAGAATTAGCTACAAGCTAAATTTCATCTGTAGTCCCTGGGCAGGAAAGGAAAACATACAATTGACAATCCAACAAACACATATAAATATACCATAAAACATCATTACACAAATCGCTATGGGATCCAGTGTGAGGTTATGAGATCCAGTGTGAGGTTATGGGATCCAGTGTGAGTTTATGGGTTCCAGTGTGAGGTTATGGGTTCCAGTGTGAGGTTATGGGATCCAGTGTGAGGTTATGAGATCCATTGTGAGGTTATGGGATCCAGTGTGAGGTTATGGGATCCAGTGTGAGGTTATGGGATCCAGCGTGAGGTTATGGGATCCAGCGTGAGTTTATGGGATCCAGCGTGAGGTTATGGGATCCAGCGTGAGGTTATGGGATCCAGCGTGAGGTTATGGAATCCAGCGTGAGGTTATGGGATCCAGTGTGAGGTTATGGGATCCAGCGTGAGGTTATGAGATCCAGCGTGAGGTTATGGGATCCAGCGTGAGGTTATGGGATCCAGCGTGAGGTTATGGGATCCAGCGTGAGGTTATGAGATCCAGCGTGAGGTTATGGGATCCAGCGTGAGGTTATGGGATCCAGCGTGAGGTTTTGGGATCCAGCGTGAGGTTATGGGATCCAGCGTGAGGTTATGGGATCCAGCGTGAGGTTATGGGATCCAGCGTGAGGTTATGGGATCCAGCGTGAGGTTATGGGATCCAGCGTGAGGTTATGGGATCCAGCGTGAGGTTATGGGATCCAGTGTGAGGTTATGGGATCCAGCGTGAGGTTATGGGATCCAGCGTGAGGTTATGGGATCCAGCGTGAGGTGAGGTTATGGGATTCAGCGTGAGGTTATGGGATCCAGCGTGAGGTTATGGTTATGGGATCCAGCGTGAGGTTATGGGATCCAGCGTGATCCAGCGTGAGGTTATGGTTATGGGATCCAGTGTGAGGTTATGGTTATGGGATCCAGCGTGAGGTTATGGGATCCAGCGTGAGGTTATGGGATCAAGCGTGAGGTTATGTGATCCAGCCTGAGGTTATGGGATCCAGCGTGAGGTTATGGGATCCAGCGTGAGGTTATGGGATCCAGCATGAGGTTATGGGATCCAGCGTGAGGTTATGAGATCCAGCGTGAGGTTATGGGATCCAGCGTGAGGTTATGGGATCCAGCGTGAGGTTATGGGATCCAGTGTGAGGTTATGGGATCCAGTGTGAGGTTATGGGATCCAGCGTGAGGTTATGGGATCCAGTGTGAGGTTATGGGATCCAGTGTGAGGTTATGGGATCCAGCGTGAGGTTATGGGATCCAGTGTGAGGTTATGGGATTCAGCGTGAGGTTATGGGATCCAGCGTGAGGTTATGAGATCCAGTGTGAGGTTATGGGATCCAGTGTGAGGTTATGGGATCCAGCGTGAGGTTATTTATTTATTTATTTATTTAACAGGGACAGTGTATGGCATTCAGCCATACCAGAATTAGCTACAAGCTAAATTTCATCTGTAGTCCCTGGGCAGGAAAGGAAAACATACAATTGACAATCCAACAAACACATATAAATATACCATAAAACATCATTACACAAATCGCTATGGGATCCAGCGTGAGGTTATGAGATCCAGTGTGAGGTTATGGGATCCAGCGTGAGGTTATGGGATCCAGTGTGAGGTTATGAGATCCATTGTGAGGTTATGGGATCCAGCGTGAGGTTATGGGATCCAGTGTGAGGTTATGAGATCCAGTGTGAGGTTATGGGATCCAGCGTGAGGTTATGGGATCCAGTGTGAGGTTATGAGATCAATTGTGAGGTTTTGAGATCCAGCGTGAGGTTATGGGATCCAGCGTGAGGTAATGGGATCCAGTGTGAGGTTATGAGATCCATTGTGAGGTTATGAGATCCAGCGTGAGGTTATGGGATCCAGCGTGAGGTTATGGGATCCAGCGTGAGGCTATGGGATCCAGCGTGAGGTTATGGGATCCAGCGTGAGGTTATGGGATCCAGCGTGAGGTTATGGGATCCAGTGTGAGTTTATGGGATCCAGCGTGAGGTTATGGGATCCAGCGTGAGGTTATGGGATCCAGCGTGAGGTTATGAGATCCAGCGTGAGGTTATGGGATCCAGTGTGAGTTTATGGGATCCAGCCTGAGGTTATGGGATCCAGCGTGAGGCTATGGGATCCAGCGTGAGGTTATGGGATCCAGCGTGAGGTTATGGGATCCAGTGTGAGGTTATGGGATCCAGTGTGAGGTTATGGGATCCAGTGTGAGGTTATGGGATCCAGCGTGAGGTTATGGGATCCAGCGTGAGGTTATGGGATCCAGCGTGAGGTTATGGGATCCAGTGTGAGGTTATGAGATCCAGTGTGAGGTTATGGGATCCAGCGTGAGGTTATGGGATCCAGCCTGAGGTTATGGGATCCAGCGTGAGGCTATGGGATCCAGCGTGAGGTTATGGGATCCAGCGTGAGGTTATGGGATCCAGTGTGAGGTTATGGGATCCAGTGTGAGGTTATGGGATCCAGTGTGAGGTTGTGGGATCCAGCGTGAGGTTGTGGGATCCAGTGTGAGGTTATGGGATCCAGTGTGAGGTTATGGGATCCAGTGTGAGGTTATGAGATCCAGTGTGAGGTTATGGGATCCAGTGTGAGGTTATGGGATCCAGTGTGAGGTTATGGGATCCAGTGTGAGGTTATGGGATCCAGTGTGAGGTTATGGGATCCAGTGTGAGGTTATGGGATCCAGTGTGAGGTTATGAGATCCAGTGTGAGGTTATGGGATCCAGCGTGAGGTTATGGGATCCAGCCTGAGGTTATGGGATCCAGCGTGAGGCTATGGGATCCAGCGTGAGGTTATGGGATCCAGCGTGAGGTTATGGGATCCAGTGTGAGGTTATGGGATCCAGTGTGAGGTTATGGGATCCAGTGTGAGGTTGTGGGATCCAGCGTGAGGTTGTGGGATCCAGTGTGAGGTTATGGGATCCAGTGTGAGGTTATGGGATCCAGTGTGAGGTTATGGGATCCAGCGTGAGGTTATGGGATCCAGCGTGAGGTTGTGGGATCCAGTGTGAGGTTATGGGATCCAGTGTGAGGTTATGGGATCCAGCGTGAGGTTATGGGATCCAGTGTGAGGTTATGGGATCCAGTGTGAGGTTATGGGTTCCAGTGTGAGGTTATGGGTTCCAGTGTGAGGTTATGGGTTCCAGTGTGAGGTTATGGGATCCAGTGTGAGGTTATGGGATCCAGTGTGAGGTTATGGGATCCAGTGTGAGGTTATGGGATCCAGCGTGAGGTTATGGGATCCAGCGTGAGGTTATGGGATCCAGTGTGAGGTTATGGGATCCAGTGTGAGGTTATGGGATCCAGCGTGAGGTTATGGGATCCAGCGTGAGGTTATGGATCTGCTGTGGACTCAGTGCTTCTCTCTTCGCAGAGTTTCTGGAGGGAGGAGTCGGGCACGTGGAGATGCTTTTCCGATGCAATTATCTTGCGCTTGTTGGAGGCGGGAAAAAGCCAAAGTACCCTCCCAATAAAGGTATATTTCTCTTTGAGATGGACGCTGAAGGCTTTATGGCATAATTTGCTAAAGTTGTGAAGAAGGTAACACACATTTAGTGCATGTTCTACTGAATTAGTGGTTACTAATCTGTAAAAACATATGTTTGCATGTTTCCTGCGTTTGTGTTAGTGATGATTTGGGATGATCTGAAGAAAAAGACTGTGATAGAGATCGAGTTTTCCACCGAGGTCAAAGCTGTGAAGCTTCGCCGTGACAGGTATCTGAACTCAAGCTCAAGTTCCTCTAGTTGCATTTAATAGCCTATTCTTTGGTATAATATTTGTTCGATTTTGATGCTGAAAATATCTGACAGCTGATATGAGTTTCAAACCTGTAGAGTTTCTTTGTTCTGTTGAACGCAAAAGAAGTTATTTTGAAGAATACTCTACGATCCTCTGACTCTAGCCTTCTCAGCATCGCCTTGCTTCAATGGGGGCAGATGTGGAATCACTCTGTTCTGTTAATACTATTTCTGAATTCAAATCCATGCTCAAAACTCACTTATTTTCTGAATGTTATAATTCTTAAGTTGTACTGCATTTATATTTTTTATTTTTTTTATGTATTCTGCTGGGTGCCGCCCCACTTTCAGTACTTACACTCTCATCTACCTACTGTTGTTTTGTCCGCTGTCTTTGTCCACTGCCTTTATTGTTACTTGTTTATTGTAAAGCGTCCTTGAGCTCTGGAAA